GAGAAGGAGGAGAAGAAGAAAGAGGAGAAGGAGGAGGAGGAGGAGGAAGGGGATTAAATGGCGAAGGCGGAAAAGGAGGATAAATAGGAAGGATAAGGAAAAGGGGAAACAGAAGATGAAGGATAGAATGCTGGGGAAGAGGAGGGGGAAATGGGAGAAGAGGAAATGAGAATAAAGAAGGGAAATTAAGAAAACAAGGAGAGAGAGGAGGAGGAGGAGGGAGAGAAGAAGAAGAGGAAGAGGAAGATGAAGAAAGCGAAAATGTGGATAAAGGAAGAGAAGAGAAATGAAAAGTAGGTGTAGGATAACAAGAAAATCGATGAATAATGAGAAGAGGAGAAGGAAGAAAGTAAGAAAGAGACAGCGAAAAGGAAAAAGAAGAAAAAGAGAGAATAAAAATGGGGAAATGATCAATAAAGAATATTAAGGAATAGAAGAAAATGACGAATAAATAGGAAAGAACGAAAGAGAAGGATAACAAGACAAGAAAAAAGGAAAAAGAAGAAGAAATAACAAAAGTTACGAAAATAAGAAAAGAAAGATAAAGAAAAAGGAGAAAAGAAAAATAAGAGAAAGAAAGAGGAATAATAAAAAAAATAATAATGAAGAAAATAAGAACATAAAAGAATGGAAGTAGGAGAATATGAAGTAAAAAATAAAACGGAAAAAAAGGAATAAATGAAGAAGGAGAATTAGAGAAGAGACGAATAAGAAAAAATGAAAAAAATGAACGATAATTAAGGGGAAGAAAGAAAGAAGAATGAAAAGGTAGAAACAGGAAAGAAACATAAAAGAACACAATAATAATGGCAATCATAATAATAATAACAATAATAATAATGATAACAATAAATATAAAAAACTGAAGAATAGGAAGAATAAGAATGATAAGAAGAAACACATGATAATAATAGTAATAATAGAAAAAACAAAAGATTAGGAAGGAGAAGAAGAAACAGAAAAAAACACAGAATAAAAGGAAATAAATAAAGAAAAATATATAAATAAAAGAAGAGAAAAATGAAATAAGATAAAAAAAAGAAATGCTAAAACAGGGAAAAATCGACCTTCTCGCACACCCACAGACGCAATTCCACCGCAACGAGTTCTGGTAACACTGCAGACTCAGCCGCTGCCAGGTAACCACAGGTAAGTTCTCACGGCCATGGCAACACTGGCTTATCGAAGGCCGTGCTATTCTGGCAACACTTTCTTTGTATATATGTTTATTTTATTTTATTTTTTGTGATTATTTCCAGTTTTTATTTGTTTATTTATTTGTTTTGATAAAGATTTTTAATTTTTTGTGTAAGTCTGTTTTTAATGATGAATTTTTAATTTTATTTATTTATTTATTATTTTTAATTAAAATTGTTTTGATATGGGGAATAATGTGTGGTTATTTGTATTTATTTATCAATTTATTAATCTATTATTATTATTTTTCTTATGAATGTGTATTTTTTCTTATGCTTTACAGGGATGATATATATAAAATATGGGTGGAGAATATAGGAAAAACAAACAAACAAAATAAAGATAAGACTAAGTAAACGAAACAAAACAAAAAGTAAAAAGAAAGAAAAAAAAAAAAAAGGAGAAAGTCGACTCAGAATATCAGTCACGCATATTTTTTCCTCTTTGTGTGTGCAAGGAGTAAGAATAAATACAATTGTTGAGCGAGCGCGTGTAAATAACCTGTCATTTATCCCAATTAACGGGCTATCTTCACCGTGGCGGAGGGGGCGTTGCGCGGTCGGCGGAGGAGTACTCTGCTCGTGACGTCATTTCCGGCTCCGCCTCCCGCCTCCTTTTCTTCGTTATTTTCCGTTTTGTGTTCTTTTCTTTTCTTTTTTTTTCTCTTCTTTTTTTCTCTTCTTTTTTCTCTTCGTCTTTTTCTTCTTTTTTGGGTGTTTTCTCTTCTTTTTTCCTTCTTTTTCTGTTTTCTTTTTTCCTTTTTTAATTTTTCTTCGTCTTCTGCTTCTTTTCCCCTTTTTCTAGTTTGTTTTTCTTCTCTCTTTTCTTCCTCTTTCGACCTTCTCTGTCTTTTCTGTTTTTTCTCCTTCTATTCCTCTCTCTTTCTTTCCTTTCACCCTATTTTCTGCTACACATTTATGTATACACCACTTCTTTCCCTTCCCTCTCCTTTCTTCCCTCCTTCCCCCTCCCTCTTTCCCCCCTTCCCTCCTCCCTTCTCTCTTCCCCTCCTTCCTTCCCTCTTCCCCCTCCTTCCTTTCCTCCCTCCTCCCCTCCCCTTTCTCCCCCTCCTCCTCCTCCTCCCTCCTCCCTCCTCCCTCCTTCCCTTCTCCCCTCCCACCCCTCCCCCCACTCCTCCCTCCCTCCCTCCTACCCTCTCCCCCACCAAAACACCCCCTCCCCCACTCCTCCTTCTCTCCCCCCCCCCACCTCCCCTCTCCCCCCCATCCCTACCCCCCCCCCTCCCCCCTGCAACAGCATTGCATGAGTATCCATCGTTTCTTCTTGCAACTTCCCATTGAAAGGGGTTGACCCGTGGCCTAGAGGGGTGAAGGGGGGGAAGGGGGGGGGTGAGGGTGAGAAGGGGGGTAGTGGGGGAGGGAGAGGGAAAAAGGCTACAGGAAGTTGTATATTAGTGTCTATATGTCTCTGTCTGTCTGTATCTCGGTCTGTTTGTTTGTCTGTCTGTCTGTGTCTGTCTGTCTATATGTCTATCCATCTATCTATGTATTTGTCTATCTATCTGTCTATCTATCAATCTATATATCTATCTATTAATGTGCGTTTCTATGTCTTTTTGTATTAGAGTGTGTATGTGTAAATATATATTAAAAAAACGGTAATAACAATAATGATAATCTTATTTTCTAATAATTGTAAAAAAAAAAAAAAAAAAAAAAAAACGATTTAATTGAAACGCCAATAAAGATTATATAACCGTCATCCTTTTTTATAATATCAACTCGACGAATAAAAAAAAAAAAATACACGAGGTTGATGTTCATAATAACACTTAATCAAAAAAGAATAAAGAAAAATAAATAAATAAATAGATAAACAGCAAAAAATCCGATCACATTAAAAAGTTATCTGTCGTGGTTATTAATGGTGGATTCCGTTCATTCATAATAAGGATTGTGATATGGAGGGAAAGGATTTGAAATACGTAGATGTACTCATACGCACGCATACACACACGTATATAGATTTACATACACATACATACGTATATATATATATATCCTATATATACCTATTATATATATACATATATATATAATATATATATATATATATATATATAATATATATATATATATTATATATTATATATATATATATACATACATATATAATAATATATACAATATATATATATATATATATATATATATTATATATATATATATATATATATTATATATATATATATATATATATATATATATAATATATATATATATATAATATTATATTATAATTATATATAAATATATATATTATATATATATATATATATATTACTTATATATATATGTAATATAACACATATGCACATACATATATATATATATATATATATATATATATATATATAAATATATAATATATATATATATATATATATGTATATATGCACACACACATATTATGTGTGTGTGTGTGTGTGTGTGTGTGTGTGGTGTGTGTGTGTGTGTGTGTGTGTGTGTGTGTGTGTGTGTGTGTGTGTGTGTGTGTGTGTGTGTGTGGTGTGTGTGTGTGTGTGTGTGTGTGTGCGTGCGTGCGTGCGTGCGTGTGTGTGTGTGTGTGTGTGTGTGTGTGTGTGTGTGTGTGTGTGTGTGTGTGTGTGTGTGTGTGTGTGTGTGTGTGTGTGTGTGTGTGTGGTGTGTGTGCGGTGCGTGTGTGTGTATACAATATTGTAACCCAGTTACATTATCGGATGAAGATAAAGCCTTAGCCTTAGTTGGACATTCGAACAACTTATTTACGATATAAAAAAAAATATTCCGTTATTCAAATGAGGAAGAAGCTGAATATGTATGTCAAATAGAATATAATTCGCTGTATTATGTATCTAGAAAATATATTCAACCAGACCGTTTTATTTAATTTGTATCGTCAAGGCTGCGTTCCAATCCCCTCGCTCGTCCTGAACTTTGACTTGGTTTGAATAATTTTTCAGTTTTAGTTTTATTCTCATTCTGTTTATCTATTCTCAGTTGCTCTTATTCCTTCTGCATACTATCATTTCTTAATTTCCTTTATCTATTCTTTTTTTTTTTATTTTAATTCCGTGAGACCATAATTTCTCATTTTCTTTCATATTTCTCGTGTTCATTAATTATTCTTTGTTCCTGTGTTCCCATTTTCTTTAACAATTCTTGGTGTTTCTATTTTCATCATGATTTGTTGTCTTTATTCCTATTTCCGTGTTTACTCTTTTTCTTTTCCTCTTATCCTACTTTTCCTTTTTTCGTTTTCTTTGGTAATTCACGTTTCTTTATTTTCTCTCATTATCATTTTCTTTCTTAATTCTTGTCTACGTTTTCGTTTCTGGTTTTTATTCCCTCTTCTTTTGTTCCTGTTTTATAATTTCCTTCGTGATTCTTTTTAATCTATTTGTCTATTTTTCTTTGGTCAAAACTCTCGTCTCTTCGTTTATTTCATAATTCCTGTTTCTTATTTTCGTTTCTCACTAAATTATTTGCATTTTCTCTTCCGTTTTTTTCTTTATTTTCTTACGTTACTTGTATATTTGTAGATTTTTTTTCTTACAAAGTCATTAGATTTTTTTTTTTGTAATACTATTTTTATTCTTTTCTTCTCTCGTCTCCTCCTATTCTCTTCGTTTTCCTTCTCCTTCTATCTCCTCTCTTTTATTAATTTATCTTCTCTTTTTTCTTCCTTCCTCTTCTCCCTACCATCCTTCTCTTTCTCTCTCTTCTCGTGTACGTTCTCCTCCCTCTTCTCCCCTTTCATCCTTCCTTTTTCCTTTTACTTCTCCTCCTTCCTCCTTCTGCCCTCTCCTCCATCCTCCTCCACCTCTCCCCCTTCCTCCTCCTTCCCTCTTCCTCCTCCCTCTCCCCTCTCCCCCCCTTCTTCCCCTCTCCCCCTCCTCCTCCTTCCATATCATCCTCCCCCCTTCCCTATCTTCCTCTTTATTCTCTATCATCCTCCATCCTTTCTTCCCTTGCTCTCCACCTCCTACTTCTCTCCATCTTCTTTTATCCCTTAATTCCCCTCCACCCTCTCTCTCTCTCTCTCCTCTCTCTCCTCTCTCTCTCTCTTCCTCTCTCCCCCTCCTCTCGCCCACGCCCACACCCCACCTCCAGCATACACATCCAATTGGTATGCCGCCCACGGAAGCTCCTACGCCCCTCCAGTGTTACTTGTGGGCGCGTTACAAGGGCGTGGTGGCCAGCCTCACCTGGTCCTGGTACACACCTATTGCCTTGCGTGTGGACGTGTTTTTGTTATTGTTATGATTTTGTTGTTGTTGTCGATGTTGTTGTGTCGATGTTTGTTGTTGATTGTTGTTGTTGTCCGATGTTGTTGTTGTCGATGTTGTTGTTGTCGATGTTGTTGTTGTCGATGTGTTGTTGGTTGTTGTTATCGTTATTGTTATTGTTAGTAGTATTGTTATTATCATTGTTATTATCATCATCATTATCCCTTTTGTCGTATTATCATTATTATCGTTGTTATTGTTATTATTGTTATTATTGTTATTATTATTATTATTATTATTATTATTATTATTATTATTATTATTATTATTATTATTATTATTATTATTATCATCATTATTATTATCATTATTATTATTTATATTATCATTATTATAATTATCAGTAATATTGTTATGATCATTATCATTATAATTTTCATTGTCATCATTATTGTGTTTGTGTGTGTGTGTGTGTGTGTGTGTGTGTGTGTGTGTGTGTGTGTGTGTGTGTGTGTGTGTGTGTGTGTGTGTGTGTGTGTGTGTGTGTGTGTGTGTGTATGTGTGTGTGTGTGTGTGTGTGTGTGCAATAGTGCTTATAAAAAATATGTTATTGACAATGATAATGATAATGTAGTAAATAACATTGATGATCTAAACCGTTTTAATTATTCTAATAATATTGGTAATAACAGTAATAATAGCAACAATAAGGATAATTATGATCATGATAATAACAATATAATAATGACATTAAATGATAATATGAGGATCACGAATAATAATAATAACAATAATGATGGTTATAGCAATGAAGATGATCATGGTGATGGCGATAGTAATAATAATGGTAACAATAGTAATAATAATTTAATGATAATGATGATAATAGTAATAATAATGATGATAATAATGATAATAATGATAATCCCGCATTCTGTCCATCTCCTTATCTTCCCCGCTTCTCCACCCCCACCACCACTTTCACCATCCCCAATCTCCCCACCCAACCTTTTCTTCTCTCCCCAATCCTCTCCCTCACTCCCACTTCTTATTTCCCCAATATTCTATCCCCCTACAATTCTTCCTCCTCCAATTCCCATTCCTTTTTACCTCCAATCTCCCTCCAACCCCACTTCTCCCTCCAACCCCACTTCTCCCTCCCTCAATCATCCCCCCTTCACCAACATCCCCCTCACCCCCACTTCTCCAACACCCCCCACAGTCTCCTCCACCCCCATACTCTCCCTATCCAACATCACCCCTCCATACTCTCCCTCACCATCTACCCCACCCCACTTCTCCAACTCCTCACTCTCTAACCCCCGTCCCCCACTTCTCCAACCCCCCAAACTCTCCCCCACCCATTAACCACCCCAACTCACCCCCACCAATAACCCCCCACTTCTCCCCCCAAACCTCCCCCACCATTAACCCCCCCACACACACTTCTCCACCCCCCCATACACACTCTCCTTCACCAACATCTCCCTCACCCCCCCCCCATCACCCCCCATCACCAACATCCCCCTACACTCTCCCCCACCGACATCCCCCCACCCCCACTCTCCAAGCGCCCCCACACACACTCTCCTCACCCCCACTTCACCCCCCCCCAATCACCCCCAACACCAACATCATTCCCATCCCCCATCACCAACATCCCCCACCCCCACTTCTCCAACCCCCCCCCCGCCCCCACCACACTCTCCCCCAGGGTAATAACCATCAAGGGGCCAAACGAGGCTGTTAGACGCCTAGCCACGAGTTTTCCTGATGGTTTACATAGGGGGGGAGGGAGGAAGGAGGAGGGGTGCTTAGGGGAAGGGAAGTTAGGGGAAGGGGAAGGGAGTTAGGGGGGAAAAGAGAGAGGGAGAGGGGAGGGGGAAAGGGAGAGGGAGTTGGGGGGAGGAGGGAAGGGAGGAGAGGAGGGGGGGAGGGGGAGAAGGGGAGAGGGGGGAGGGAGGGGGGGGAGGAGGAGGGGGAGAGAAGGGGAAGGGGAGAGAGACTTCGGGAGGGGGGGAGAGGAGAGGAAGAAGACGGAGTTAAGGGGGAGAAGAAAATAACTAGAAAGAAGG